TTTTTTTTTGTTAAGATCTAATCGTTGATTCTGTCTCTTGCTCTTGATAAAAGTCGCATAGAGGGAAAGAAAAAACAAGGAAAGAAAAAGATAAAATCTTATTTTCAATGTATTCACTATCATTTATATATCTATTAATATATGGAATATATAAATAGAGAGGAGAAAAAAGAAGAGCATTCTCGGATGTCTAGAATTACTAGTGAAAAGAGGGATTTATTATTCTTAGTATCGTTTTTGAGATAATAATTTTCATCCGGATTTGAATCTATTAATTTTTTATAAGTGGTCGAACATAATTGTATACAATATTGTTGTCAATAATGATTATGTTGTATGGGAAAAAGGAGAAAAAGGTTTTCCTGATCATTGAACGGATATATAGACAGTATCGATATTCTTTTAGAATATCTAATTAGTGTCATCTAATTAATATGAAAGAGAGAGAAATGCTTTTTATAACTATATGTTATTTTTAGAACTGAAATAGAATTATTATAAACGTTCTATATCGAACGGAATTACACGTGAAAAGTTTTTATCAATATTGAAAAAATTAGATTTAACAAATCACAATAATTTCCATCATATACTATTAATATCACTCTTATATTGAAGATTCTCATAGATACTTTTGTCTGTCATAACCTATAAAATAAAAGTGCATATATAAAGTTCAATTTCTAATTGATAGTGATATTCTCTACTAATTATTCTATACTTTTTCATAAATTATTTATACTGAATTAATCATAGTTTTACTTAAAAATACATATGACAATTTATTCAATCGATCTATAATCATACATGTTGAAATTGAAAAGTAAACGAGATTTGATGTTATTTCGTGATATTGAACAATTTTCGTGATGCATAAACACGTATTTAAAAAAAGGGGATTATTCTAATCAATTTATTTTAGATGAAGACGCTGTTGACTTATGATTTTTATCTTGTTTCATATGTTCTTTTTTCTTTTTTCTTATGATGACATGCGATCTTTGATTATCCTGAGCATTTTCTCATTTCCTTGTAATTATATACCTCATATAGCCTACGTTCATCTTTTAACGGAAACAAATAATTACACAGTCGAATGAAATACAAATTAAAAGAAGATGGCCGACATATTTTTAACAATATATATATATATATGCAAAAGAAGCAAAAAAAGAATTGAGATTTAAATATAGAGAAAAGATTATTATCAAAGATATCTACATGCGAAAATGTAGCAACGTGTTTATGGAATGTTTAAAACAAATACATATTCATTCTATAACATAAATGTATGTTCTAATTGAAAATTAAATTCTAGTATGTCCATTATTAATCATAGTTGCTTGTTGTTGATGTTGATGTTGATGTTGTTGATTTGAATCATTATTATCAGTAGTCATAAGTGTAACACCATGTTGATGTTGTCCTTGATATGGATAAGGCATTGATTGTGGATAGAATATAGGTGCATGGTTTTGTTGTGGTGATGAAGCTGCGGATCTTGACATTTGTTGTTGTTGTTGTTGTTGTTGTTGTTGCGGTTGGGGTGGTGTTTGTTTTGGTAGTTGTATTTGTTGTTGTTGTTGTTGTCCTGGTAAAAATTGAGCTGATGTTTGAAAAGTTCCAGATTGATGTTTTTGTGTAATAAATTGTTTAACAAGTTGAGGATCAATCTGACCATGTGGATCTTGTTGTTGAAGTGCACTCCAATCAATAAGTGGTTCAGTAAAAACGGGTGCAAATGTTTGTTGATATGATGTTTGATTAAGTGCACCATAAGATGCTGAACGAGATAATTCTGTATGCAATGGATGTACTTGATGAAAAGCAGTATTAGAAGTATTTCGAGGTGGTTGATTATCTGAACCAATTCGTTGTCGTACTGGTAAATCACGATGTGTTAAATCAACAGCTGGATGCCATTGTTTAGGAAGACTAAATGGTTGTGTTGGAATAGTAGAAGCTGGTGAAGAATCTGGTAAGAGACGTGTATTAATTGCAGTAGCTACTTCACGTATATCTGAATCATTGAGTGTTGAACTATCTAATCCTGAATTTGTTATCATAAATTCAATACGTTTACCAGATGTTGTTACATATTCATAACGACGTTGTGGTTCAAGTACACGAACATGTTGAATATTAGTTGGAGAACTTTGATCACCATTTGATGATCCTTGACGAAATAATGTCGGTTGTTTTAAAGGAACACGTGGTGGAGGTGCAGGAATATTATCATGAGAATTTCGTTGTTGAGACATTGTTGGTGATTGTTGTTGTGAACGAAATTTTGATAATATTTCTGGATCATCAATAACATATTCTCGAAGTATAGTACCATTCGGTTGTTTAACTTCTCGTGCTGTAACACCTGACATTTTAATTAAATCATGTACATCATCAATAACCATAGGATTTCCATCTTCATCAATAACTTCATATTGAACATTGGGTTGTTGTTTTATTGGATTATTGATTTGTGGTACAGGAGATGGAGCATTATGTCGTTGACGAAGTTCTTGACTTTCTCGATGTATACGATGTACTTCTTCATCAGCTTCATCAGCTGAATTTAAACGTCGCATTGATTGATGTGATGATATTTTTGATTGAACACTATTTGCATTACTTGAAGATGTATTTGAAAGAACTGGATGTGGAGGAGGAGGAAGATCAACATTTGTTCGATGATTTGATGATGATGTATCATTGGATCGTCGATGATTTCTTTCATATAAATCATTACTTTGTTTACTAGAATTTCGACGTGTTGTTATTGTTGTAGTATTGCTACTTGGAGATGATGATGAAGGAGATCCCATAACATTTGTTAAAGATTTTTGTTCAAATTTTGCTTTTATTTGAGCAAATTTATTTTTTGATGATCGTTGTTCATCATCGGAACCTGTTGTTGATGATGTTGAATCTAAAGTTGGTTTAATTTCTCTAAGTAAAGTTGGATCTTCAATAATATATTCTAAAATAATTAAATTTTTTAATGAATAAATTTAGGAAAAAAGAAGAAGTTTGCATTTATTTACCTCGTACAATTGTTCCGTCTGCTTGTTTTATTTCACGTATATTTGACGCATAGTTTCTCCAGTTATCACCATAACGATTTTTTATAGTATCTGCATCATAACGTGCTATTTGGTCGTCAGAAAAAAGTTGATCATCATTATTATTATTATGCATTGCTGAATATGATATCTGTGGATTAGGTCTTGTTGTCATTATTTCAATTTTTACTCTGTATGAATTTAGGTCGTTACTTGGATGAATAGAACGAGACGAGACAAGAGACAAAAAAAAATGATATAGCTGTGCATTAGTGCGTGACGAATCACCTATATGGTTGAATGTGAGACATTATAAAATTGTACGATAATCATATGATCAGTGAAAAAAAAGATGATAATGGAAAAATGTTAGATTGATTTATATGATAAATTACAAGTAAATTTATATTTAAGTGGCCCTTTTACAACCAATTAAATATATAAAATATTTATTAATGAGTATATAAATGAACTAGAGAATTTATCGATTATACTTTTGTTTATATTACTATTTAAAATAATCATAAATAGAGTTAATCAATAATTTTCAATTAGTATAGATAATAATCTAATGATTTGTATTGGTCAGCTATGCGAAATTCAATATACATATGTTTATGTTAATAGAAATTTGATTTTTAATGTATAGTCTAGATTATAGATGTCTTATTATAACGCCCATTCGAAAAAATTTTGAATTCAACTGTAGGTGTAAAATAAATAAGATTCTCATATTTCTCTGTTTGATTGTAAACTAAAATTGAATTTAATGATATAATTATTGAATTCTACTTAATGAAAAAATAGAGACTCAATTTTTTTCTTTTTTCATCATTATAGTGCAATTTTGTTATCATTATTTTCAATGAACTGAACGATAAGATGAACAAGACAACATTCTTTTTGCTTATAAACATCAATTAAAAACAATATTTTTCTTTGACGTTCTCTTTTCTAATCTTTGAAACAAGCAAGAGAGAAAAAAAAAGAAATAAGAACGAAAACAGTACAAATATCTTTAACAAATACAAGAAGAAGAAAAAATAACCTAGTTATTCAATTTTAAGTCTATTAATATCATCACGTATTTGATCATATGTAGGTGAGACATGATAACCATAAAATTTTGCTTTTTCTAATTCACGTTTAACATAATATTCAGCATTAAATTGATCAGCTTTACCAAGTATTATTGAATTTTCCATTTCAAATAATTTACCTCGACGTTTTATTTTTTCACGTAATTTTTTAAGTAAATCATATTTAAATTTTTTTAACCATTTCTTTCTATGATGTAAACGCATACGACGTGAACGATATTTAACAGTATTTGTTAAACGACTTGGATGATTTCGTACACGTCTTTGACGTTTATAACGATAATTTGTTGATGTCCAAGCGCATTGAACTTTTTCATTTCTATTCGATGGACAATCATAATAAAGAAGATCATCATATAAAGAACATTTATCTAGTATAGTTATTGTATTGGATGATATGATAGATGTTGGAAGTGTAGTAGGCATTGGTGTTGATTGTGAAGAAGGTAACTGACGAGGTAAAGGTATTCGAAAATTAATAGGTTCGTATCCAATCGAAGAAGATATACTAGCTAAATGAAAATAAACAATTCCGATCTTTCTTATCAGGCTTTCCTATTCATACTTGATAATGGTGTCATACTCAATCGTCGATATAAACATGTTCCAAACTGCTTTCCTATAGTGGAAATGCCTAAACATTTTCGCATAAATAATGCCATCTAAAGAACGAAAAACAAAATCATGATCATTACACAAACGTAATTATAAGTTCAAGTCAATGTTGTTAATTGCCTGAATGTTCAAATTTACTTTTTGTTTCTTTTTTTTTTCATTTGTGTTTTTGTATACCAACGAGATCAAATAACGCGCACATAAAGAAAAAAGAAAACAAGTAGATATAGATTTAAAACAAAACAAAAAAAAAGAAAAAGATAGACATGGCCTATTAAGAAGAAAAAAAAAATATCAAACTACATATATATATATGTATGTATATATATGTTTGTTAATATGCATCGCGTCAACTTTGTTAATGGCTATGACAATTTGGCATACGCACACGCACACACAAAAACAAGAAAATTCACATATAAGAAGAATTACAATTGATGAAGATGCTTTGGTGCTATTCATCATCAAGTTTTGTTCTCTTTATCTATACATATATAAATATATATACAAATTTGTAGAGAGAAAGAGAAATATATATATATATATACGAAATTGAATAACAATCAAAAGAGAAAAGAAGAGAAGAAAAAAAACTTATGTGACTTTGTTTTGATAGATGAGCAACAGAAAAAAGAGAACTAGTAGTAGTAGTAGTAGAGACAAAAAGACTTTTTAAATGATATTAAGATATATATATATACAGCCCGAGAAGAAGAAGAAGAAGAGAAAACACAATAAAGAAAGAGAAATATGATGATAGTCACGAGAAAAAACAACTAGACGGGATTGTAAGATTTATTGGCGTTGTTCATTAGTATTACGATTATTTTTTCGACATTCGAATAATTGAGGATAGAAATCATTTACTGCCGTATTGATAACATCAACAGATGGTGCTAAAATAAATTTCAAATCATTATTTTCGATTAAATTAAGTTCTACAAGAAAATATAAATAATACATATACCTTAGAGAGATTTATGGTTTAGATCGAGCAATGAAGTATTGATTTAAAGAGGTATGGTTTAATCAAATAAAGCAAAAGTAAAATTTGGCATTCATCTACTGAATGTATCAGAAAAGTTGCGCAGATTTTATTCGCTTTGAGTATAAATAAATAACTACACAACTAGGGAAATCCTACTACTGACCATAGAGAGATTGATAAGATTTATTGATTCTATTCCCTAGGTAAACTAAAACATTTATTATTCTACTCCCATTATTCTGTATTTATATTAATAAATGAAGATCATAATCTTAAATTCTATGAAAATTTAATGAATGATTTCGTTTATACAATTACCTGTCAATGTCACACTTCCAGTGGTAAAAACTTTGAGAACGGCTCTATTGTTCAATCTGACTGTAGCACCTGGATGAATTTCAGGTTCATAACTAAAAAAAGAAAGATCAATATTAAAAATAAAATCATCATTTGTAGTTTTTTTTCTTCAATTACCTGACACATTCAGAATACAAACGACTTAGTTTAACAATATCAATTGTCCATGGCATTGAACACGTTGCAAGACAGTTGACAATACGATAGTTTCGAAATTTGGTGTTGAATCCGAGTCGTTGTAAGCATCGAGCAACACGTCGTGCCGCACGTTGTGCATCAACCTCACTGGAATATGTAGCGGTATACATTTATCTGTAATGCTACTAATAGAATTTATCCTTTTACACACACCTCGTTGTTCCTGTCACTGTCACTTTGCCCGATGACCAAAGGTTGGCTGAACAATATGGATTTCGCATCTTCATCAATAGCATCTATAAGACAAAAAAAAGAAAATAGATTTGCTTTTAAAATAAGAAAAAAAACAAAACATACAGCATTGCCACGTTTATAAATAACATTCGCTGCTTCCATAGCAATTTTCCGTAGATTCAATTTACAACCAAGTGCAAATGAACAAACAATATTATTTACAAATAATTCTATTTCAGGATCTTGTTGATTATTTTGTGTATCAATGTCATTTGTCTAAAAAGAAATTTTAAAGTATTTTTTGTTAGTTTTTTCTTTTACAAAAATCAAATTTGAAAAATTTTCTTTTCATTCAACCTTTTCTTCGACATTTTCTAAAATTATTTGTCGTTGAATTGTTGATGTCGCTAATCGTCCAAGTGTAGATTTATCAATACAAGTACCCGTTTGAAAATTATTATTATTATTATTATTTAAATTTGATATTGTTGGACCTTGTCCAGTTATTGTTGTATTACTATTATTGATTAATGTATAGGATGGTGAGACGAGATGTACTGTTTGTGAAGACTGACGAATAATATTATTCGGTGTTGATGATGGTTGTGTTGTAATATAATATGTTGATGAATTTTTATTGATTTTTGAAACAGCCGATGATGTCGGAGCTGTTAAATGCCAAGAAGGATTTGTTGAAGACGATGAAACAAATGTATGATGATTATTTGGTGTATTCATTATTTGATAATTAGGATGAACAACGGCAGAAGTTGATACTACTGATGGATTTACATTAGTTGTTGAAAACATTATTATAATTATTTATCTGACTGAATTTTTTATTTAGTTTCAAATAATATTGACAGTACATATGTTGTTGTTCTTTTTTTTTATTTATTTCTTTTGATTTCACTGTCTGCTGTCTCGCAGCTGATGATTTCGATCGTTCTTATATAGCTAATAGCTACCATCGAACATGTCTACGTGCCTCCGTACATATCATAATTTATTCAGTATATTTGTTTGTTTTTTATTAATGAAATAAAAATAATTTTTACGAGAATTTTTTTGTCAATATTATTATGAAATTGATAATTAAGAAATAATGAATCATTGAAATGATTAATCATGTTTTCTGTTCATGATGTAAGTTGTTAAAATAATAAATCATCCGTTGGACGAATAGCTTAAGGTTGAAGGACTTGTTGATTAATTTGTCAAATATTGTTATAGCTATGATTAAGCGAAGTTCTTTTTGCATGTTATCTTCATCACGTGTTCGAAATTACCTCGTGACATTTTTAAAAGTAATTTTAACTGACCTAAATAATAATAAACTTATGATACCATTCTTGTCTAAGCTAATTAAGAGAGTATTTTGATATTGTACAAATTCGAAACATGAATATGATGTCAATTACAAATGAAGAAATAAAATATTTGTCAGAAAAAGTCTCAAGCAAACGTCAAATTTTATATTTACAACTAGCAATGCAATAAACTTGCTCTCAGATTTATATATATATATTTACTTACGCATTATGAGTGATAAATTTGAGATGAAATAGATAAATCAAGACGGTCAAAGACCAAAGCAAAACTACTACTATAGTCTTAAATTCAGAGCTGGGCAAAGTACTCAATATGATCTTGGAGTTCTTAATTATGTCTCATAAAAAATTACTATTCGATTATGTGCTGCATGGATGACATGAATTTTTGACGTCTTTTTGTTTCGACTATTTAAATATAGATTTTTCCCTCTACCAACTATGGTAAAAACTCTTAGTCACCCTCGATACAATAGTACTCGTGTTGATACGGTTTTGTTGTACTCGCACTCGAGAAAGTCCGTACTCGCCTAGCGCTACTTAAATTGTTAATATCAACAGTATAGCTATTGTCTGTCTTACATTTTTCTCCTCTCTTTTTTCATGGAGTCAAACAATATTACATATTAGATTAATCTTGAAGCTAGTTTTTAATAAGACAATTGCAAAGCCTCTAAGGTTCTGTATCATAATATGACAAAAAAATCAACTTTAAAAGTTGATGTAAATGTTACCTAAGCAATTCATGATATACGCGGCTTTCAATTCTAAAGCTAAAACAGATTTACTGCAACCCGCAAAAAAAATAAATGTAAAAGTACTGTGTTTTTTTTAAAGGCATAAGAGAATATGTTACAAAATTATATAATTAATCAAATCTAACAGTTACACCAATTTTCTTTGGTTTATTTACATTTGTTACATCATATCCTCCACTATTTACTTCATTTCCACCATCACCAAAACTTACAAATTGCATAAGTCTTGCACAAATCAACTTCAATTCCAATCGAGCTAAATCTTGCCCCATACATTGTCGATGACCACCACCAAATGCCATCAATGCAGACAGATTATTTTTATGTTCTGTATCATAAAGAAATCGTTCAGGATGAAATTCATTGAGATCATACAAATCAGACCAATAACGTTTATCTCTTGCTAAAGCATAAAATGAAATCATGACTGATTCACCTTTCTTCAATTCAAATCCACTTGCTGGTAGTTTATCATCCGTTGTTAATGTTCGAACAGTGCCTAATGCAGGTCCAACTAAACGTAATAATTCACGAAGGACACATTCTAAATAAACAAGTGAATCCAGTTGTTCGTGTGAAATATGTTGACCATTGTATTCAGCCAGTTCCTTTTTGATTTGATTTTGAATTTGTGAATTTTTACTCATAAAATAAATGAACCATATAAGCGAAGTTGATGTTGTGCCATAACCAGCACCAAGAAATCCAATCATTTCACTCATTACTTCGACTCGAGACAGTCCTATATATTCACTATCTATGAATAAAATAATACTTTTTATTTCGAACAATCTACCTTTCTTTTCTTCTTCCGGTTTCGCTGCTTCAACTTTTTCATCTTCTTGTAAAGAAGTTACCAATGATGCTATAAAACTTGTTCGTTTACGTTCTGATCTCATTTCTGATGGTGAATTTAATTCATGTTCAATCATATCGTTTACATATTGATCAATAATAGTTCGTGCTCGTCGTGCTTTAAAGTTTAAAAACCAGAAGATTCGAGCTACAAATGTTGGTAATTGAAGAACAATTTGCATAGTATTTAGAAATGAATGAAATGCTTCAGTAAGTTCATGTTTATTATTGCCTGAATTTTCCTCAAGTGTTTGAAGATCATAATCAAAAGCAATAAAACCAAATATACCAAGTAATAATTGTTGTGATTGTTCAATCATATCTAGATGAACTTCGTTTGAATCTTTGTATTGAGTACGCCATCGATCTAATAATTTATCAGTACATTCAGTAATTGTATTAAAATGAACAAGAATTTTTGCACGACGGAACAATGGAGCCGTAAAACTAGCATGTCGTTTGAATTCTGCACCTAAATAAATAACATTCTAATCATCAGTTGAATAAATGTATCAAAATAAATATACCTTTTAAACAAATAACTCCATGTGGATTTATGATTTTGAGGTTTTTAGTAAAAACATCACCTTGATCATAGATTAGTCGATGAGAAAATATATGTTGTGCATCTTCAAGACAATTGATCATTATCATACGTTTTGATCCCAGCCATAGTTGATAAACATCACCAAACCTTTCTCTCATGTATAGAAAAACATCTGGTATTGATCCAGCTCCTGGTAAAAGAAATGCGCAATGAAGTAAATTTCCGAACATAAAGTGAGGTGGAATGCCAGGTATAGGGCCATGTAACGTAAAATATTTGGATTTAAAATAATAATAAACAATAGAGAAAAAAAGTAGGACAATAGCAAATGTCACTGAAAACATGTTTTTTCATGAAATATGGACATGTATGTCGAATGTAACAATGATATGTGATAATAAAGAACGTTCTCTTTCTTTTCTATACAAACGATTAAATTCCTAATAGAGGAATGAATTATTGACTTTTGTAGTGGCTGAAGTTGTACGATGATTCATTGACGAAAACTGATTATTTTTGTTACAAAAAGTTTTGTAAAATACAAAAATAAAGAAATAACGATGAAGAGTGTATTGATAAAGTACTACTCCAATACATGATATTAAAAAAAGATTTTGTTGGCCAAGGTTTTCTAAACTTTACAACCTATTTCAATCCATAACAGAGTAGTATTGTAAATTGCTAACTATTGATACAGTTTTGATCCTATTGAGCATTCATATATTCGATAATTGAGAAAATCTCTATACACTTCATTGGTGGATATGAATATTAGAAGAGTACTTGTCTCCAAATTAAATCACACCCTGGAGTAAGAATACGCGAGTGACAATCGAATCTTCTGAACTGGTGATCAGATCTTTTCCGAAGAACCTGAATAGATACATCACTTGGCACTCTCAGAATTGATATGAAGCTGTCACATTCCTCAATCATTTGTTTACTATATACATGCGTAGCATAGATATTGATAAATTATAACTTTTCAATTCTTTATTTATTTGTAACTTAATTTCACAAGAATATCTTTTCTCTGTTCGTGAATTAAAATAGTAAAATAAAATGCAGTTTCAAAAATTCTTCTACTCTATTCAGATTTACATCCTATAAAGTTTCACCCTGGGAAAACATACTATACAGTCAATAGCAGTTTAGATTATGAAAATTTTCAATAAAATAGTAAATTTTTAACATAGTTATCTACATTTATCAGTTTGTTGGATAGTCCATAACAATATATAGTATGAATTTGACATTTGATATTGTTAGGTAAAGTATATCTCAAATACAAACAGAAGCTATGAATTAGTGGAATATTTTATTGATTCTCTTTGTACATAAAACTTCTGCTTTATTATCAACACAAGAAGAATTTCAATACAACATAATATAACTAATATAATTAATCAAATCTATTATATCGTATCGTTCACTATTTACTTCATCTCCACCAGCACCAAAACTTACAAATTGCATATGAATTGCACAAATCGAGCTAGTTCTTAATCCATATACTGTTGATCACTACAACGAAATACCATCAATCGTGATAAATTATTTTATGTTCTGTATCATTTAGATCATATAAATCAGACCAGTAACGTTTATCTCTTGCTAAAGCATAAAATGATATCATGACTGATTCACCTTTTCCCAATTCAAATCCACTTGCTGGTAGTTTATCATCAGTTGTTAATGTTCGAACAGTACCTAATGCAGGTCCAACTAAACGTAATAATTCACGAAGGATACAATCTAAATAAACAAGTGAGTTAAGTTGTTCGAATGAAATACGTTGACTACTATGATCAGACAATGAAATTGATGTTGTTCCCTAAGCAATAAGAAGGAGTGAAAGTATTTCATCTATTATTTTTGTTGATGAAAGTTTTAAGCGGTTAACAGTTAGTAATAAAATAATGTTTGTTTTCTTCTTCAACTTTAATTACGTCAACATTTCATGTTCTTGCGAAGATGTTCGTTTACTTTCTAGTTTCATGCTCATTCGTATCTAAACGAATTTTTGCTAGATTTTTGCATTAAGGCCCCCCCCCACCTTAATTTCTATTTTCGCTTCTGAACATCCAATCTTGCTGAAATTTTCAGGGGAGTTGTGTCCCATGATAGGTATCTCACAGTAAAAATTTCAGCTCAAAATATTGAGTCTAACAAGTTTTACCTGCAGATTACTGGTCAAAATGGTGGGGTCTGGGTTTCCCAAATCCTGTTGCTATCTTAAACGCTAGAAAGCTCGGGTTTGTTTTAAAATATACCAAAAACCTAGCACTACAACTTAACAGAGCCGAAATTTTAATTTTCCTTTTTAATTTTTTTT